CACATGAGATTTTCTCAAAATAGACCACATGCTAACTCATAAAGCATGTTTAAGTTAATGCAAAAGAGTTAAAATTATCCTGTGCATATTTTCAGATCATAGTGCAATGAAACTAGAAATCAGTGTCAAAAGAAATTCAATTTGCACAGAACATGTGCAAAATACATGGAAATTAAACAGTACTCTCTTGAATAATCAGTGGGTCACAGATAGAAATAAAGGAGAGAACTGGATATATTGTAACACACCTATAATCCCAGCATTTGATAGGCTTAGGCAAAAGGATTGCTATGAATTCAAGGCTAGCCTGATCTGTATAGTGAGTTCAAGGCCAGTCTGAACTACATGTCAAGACCATGTCTTAAAAAGAGAGAGGGAGAGAGAGAGAGAGAGAGAGAGATTAAGGAAGAAATTAGTTCCCAGAATCAAATGATAATGTCAGTAGAACATAGTGGAACCTATGGGGCACAACGAAAGCACTCATAAGAGGGAAATTTACAGTGGTGAATGCTCACATCTGAAAAATAAAGCAAGCTCAAATAACTTAATGATGCAACTCAAGGTCCTAGAAAAACAAGAATAATCCAAATCCAAAGCTAGTACAAAGAAAGAAATAATAAAGAACAGCACAGAAATTAATGAAATTGAGACCCAAAAAAAGATGCAGATACAAAGAATCAGTGAATCGCGGAGTTGGTTCTTTGTTTTGGTTTTTTGTTTGTTTGTTTGTTTGTTTGGGGATTTTTGGTACCAGGGATCAAATTCAGGATCTTGTGCTTGCAGGACAGGCACAGTGCCACTGAGCTACATCCCTGGCACAGAGTTGGTTCTTTGAAAGAATAAACAAAATAGACAAACCTCTGGCCAATCTTACCCTCCAAAAAAGAAAGAAAAGTACCAAATCCACTCAATTAAAAGTGAGAAATGTGAAATTAAAATGGATTCTGCTAAAACCCAGACCACTGGCAACTACTTTTGGAACTTGTACTAATAAAATGGAAAACACAGAAGAAATGGGCAGATTTCTATGATCTACCAAAGCAGAACCAAGAAGATATAAAATACTGAATAATCCAATATGAGTCAATGAAATTGAAGATGAAAAGAAAGAAAAAAACTACAAACAAACACAAGCCCAGGTCCCAAAAGATTCACTGCCAAGTTCTACAAGAACTTTAGAGAACGTCTAACACCAATACTCTTACAATTATTTAATGAAATTGAAGGGGAAGCAGTACTCCCAAAGTCATTCCTGGAAGCTGGCAATACTCTGATTCCAAAACCAGGAAAAGACCCAGCCAAAAAAGAGAACTACAGCCAATGTCTCTAATGAACATGGACACGAAAATCTCACAAAGATTTAGGCAAACAGAATGTAACATCATCAAAAAGATCATACATCATGACCAAATAGAATCCATTCCAGGGATGCAGGGATGGTTCAGCATATGCAAATCAATAAATGTGATACACCACATAAACAGAGCAAAGACAAAAATTGCATGATCTTCTGAAGGGACACAGAAAAAGCATTTGATAAAATTCCAACACTCATTCATGATGTAAAAAAAAAAACTCGGATTCTTTTTTCTAGTTCTGTGAAATATAGTGTTGGAATTTCAATTGGCATTGCATTGAATCAAGAAATCACACAATAACAAATGTTGGCGGGGTTGTGGGGAGAAAGGAACCCTTCTCCATTGTTGGTGGGAGTGCAGACTAGTGCAACCACTATGGAAATCAATATGGAGATACCTCAAAGAGCTTGGACTGGAGGTTCCATTTGACCCAGCCATCCCTCTGCTGGGTATCTTTCCAAGAGAACTAAAAGAATCATATCACAGAGAAGTATGTGCACCCATGTTTATAGCGGCACAGTTTGTAATAGCTAAATCTTGGAAACAGCCTATTTGCCCATCCGTTGGAAACTGGATAAAGAAGTTGTGGTTTTTCTATAAAATGGAATATTACTCAGCCATAAAGA